GACTAGGCACCTTAGCCAGCAAAGCAGTCTCTCCCTGGCGCCACCCTCACCCCAGGTGGACGACAGCACTGGAGGCAGCAGGCTCCAGCTGCTTGCAGCAGGGTTTTATTTTAATCACTGCTGCACATTTTCACCTCTTTGGTTGGAACAGAGATGGGCACATGGCAGGGCAGCAGCACAGGGGCTGATGTTTACTTTGCATTTTATCAGCAACATTAGGTGCTTTAGAGACTACCAGGAAAGACCCAGGTACGAGCCGCTCCCACACAGCAGGACTTTGGACCACAACATAGAGCTGCTGTGTCCAGATGGATGAGGCTTTCTCTACTAGTCCTGCACCTGGCAACAAGGTTTCTAGGATTTCCAATTTCTTTGCCTTCCAAAAAGCTTCTTTAATTCTTCTTTCTCATCCCTCCTATTTTTTAAAAGCATCCAGCTAATTACTGGCCCTAAGAACTATCCTCAAGATACTGTTGGCAGCCTGGGAGGCTACCTCACTGTGCTCACAGGCTTTAACAGAGTTTTTGTAGAGGTGAAGGTCAGTCAGCATAAATGCAAAAAGAGACCGTATGTTTAAGATTAGGCAGGGAGGAAGGGTGCACGTAGACAATAGAACACAGGGACACTAAGCATGGAGGTAGGGTCTCAAAGGGTATACTAGAAAGCCTGAAACAGCTGCTGCATCAGCAGAATGCAGCATACTCTAAAACACAGGCTATGTGGCTAATAGGTGAGAAGGTAAGGCTTTCTTGCTACTGAGATTTTCCATGCAAGCCAAATGAGTAAAGCTGTCCAAATCGTTCTAGTAGCAGTAGATGGACTGGTCTTTTTACTAGCTCATGCTGAAGGGAAACTGTGCCAATAACTGAAGCTCTATCACAGCTAGAGCCCCAGATCAGGGGTGGTGCTCACTGGGTGGTTACAGGGTTGGGAAGGCAGGATAGCTAGGAGTAACACAAAGCAATACCACAAAGGCGTACAGAGCTATCTCTGCTTGATCACATACACACAGGGTAAAGTTCCTTTACTCGAGTCTGCAGCTCACGTAATACCCTGGTGGTGGAGGGGGAAGGCTCAGGAACATTAGATATTTTGCTGGGTTCTGCAGTTTGTTTGTACCATTTCTCAGGAGACACCTGTCCTAATTTCCTCTCCCTTTTCCTAGGGGTGAGATGTGCTAGAAGAGCAGTTGCTGCACCAGAGCCTGGCTGCGGTCCCCAGCAGTGCTGCAGGAGTGCCATCTCGTGGGTCTCTTCCCCATACTGTGCCTGGGAGCCCTGGGCAGAGACCCTTTAGGTGCACAGCCGGAGAAAGGCAGCTCTGTCAGTCACCTCACCCCTTAAAGACAAGCATGCACAAAGCAGCGTGAAGAAAATACTGCTAGGGACAGCGCTCCAGCAGACGTGTGGAAAAGGTGGTTCTCTTTTACTACTGAGCAAGATCTTAGGGCTCTTTTGCTCTCAGACGGCTTGAGGTAAGAGCTGGTAAGTGAATACGGACCTATCTTCTGAGATTCATAGCTCTAAAAAATGTTTCCCCTTGGGGCAGCAGAAGTTAAAAGATACCAGCAGAACAAATGGCTGGTAGATTACAGTTCACTTTCCTTTGGCACCTAACAAAATTCTAACAGAAGAACAATATTTGTTTATTTTTATCCTCTGCTATCATTGCCTCCATTTTGTGCCTTTTTTAATTGTAGTTGTGAGGGCTGTGGTGAGAGGTAACTTGGCTATAAAGCAGAACATACAAGCTGGTACTCTATGATGATTAACCCTCATTTAGCATCAATATTTCTTTAGCTTGGTAATATTTTAACTTCAAGGGTCACACCACTATAAGTCTGTTCTCTCTTATTATACACATTCTCAGTGCCCATTGCAAACCTTTGGGGTGTTAGAAGAGGCAGGATAGAGCTTCATCTAGTCCTGGTCTGTCTCTGAAAACAACCGTCCTTAGCTGCTCCATAGGAGGCTGTAAAACCATCCACAGGGACGGTTTGAGCAGTTTTCCCCTACAGAAAGCTATCTGATAACCTCATCTAGTGGTTGGTGCTATAGACGTAAAGCTATCAGTTTCAGCCTTGTCATGCCCACTCCAAAGAGTTTAAATGGAGATATCAGCAATTCAATTACAGTGAGCCAGTATTCAAAAGATACTTGTCATTGTGGTTTAATAGCTACTGCTTGGGAAGACTAGGGCTGACGTATCAATAAAGGCTCAACAGACACATAATAGAGAAGTTAGTATTTTTCTAGCGCTCACTGTTGATCTTTAATGGAGGCAGTTGCTGGAGGCTTATTTGCTGGGCGTACCTGATCCTAGTTGGTGATGGGCTGAGAAATCATCATTTTAGATAACCAGTAGCACCTGCCTGCTTAGCTCTCTTCACACTGAATTGCCACAGGGAGGAAGGATCTGTGCTAAAACACTTTGGTCTGTTCTAGCTGTTTATTAGTCCAGTCCTACGTGACAACTAACAACAAAAATCCACATTTAATATTAAACAGGAACATGGAGACTCCTGTCTAGAGCAGGAGGGATTGGAGCCCAACCCATGACATAACACTGTCTTGCAGCCTTTAGGCAAGACAGCCTAACAGCTGGCTCAGTCTTTAGTGGACAAAGCCTGTTCTTTCTTCAGGCAGCTATGCTACACCCTTTCATTTGTGGCTTTATGTTCAGCCAGTGTCTCTCAGAGAAAGCATCAAGATTTTTTAAACAGATCTCATTTGTCCTAGCAGTCTCAATAGGATAAGGCTTCTTTCCTTCACCATTAGAGTCTGGCTGTCTTCAGAGAGCACAGCTTTGCTCTGGAAGACAGAGCCCTTTTAAGAAGTTTCCACTCCAGGTATTGCTTTGGCACTCACAGTTTCATGAGGCGAGTGATCTGGTCACACTTCCTCCGCTCCACATTCCATGACTTGCTCTTGGTGCGGAATTTCATCAGCTCTGCTTTGAAATCCTGATGGTGCATTGGGCAGTAGCTCTGGGGTTCACACAGATCCTGAGGAACGAAGGGAAAACACATAATGTTCAGTGGTTAGCATTAGGGGATGCTGGGCAGATACAACCACAGATTTTATCACGGGAGTCAGTATGTTTTCACTGTGGGCAGAATCATGATTTATCTGATAGCCAGGACCTACAGGCGAGAGTGAGAGAGAGAGAAGAGATTGAGGCACAGTGCACTGTCTGATACAGGAGAAGGATCAGGTTAGAGAACACTTAAATTGGATGTACACAAATCCATGGGATCTGATGGGATATACCCATGAGCGCTGAGGGAGCTGGCCGATGTCATTGCAACATCACTCTTAATTATCTTTAAAAGGTTATGGTGTTTGGGAGAAGTTCCTGAGAACCAGGAGAAAGCAAGTGTCAGTCATCTTCAAAAAGATGAGTCTGGAGAAGTACTGGCTGGTCAGCCCTACCTTGATCTCTGGGAAGGTGACAAAGCATCTAATCCTTGAAACCATTTTCAGACATATGAAGGTGATCTGGAGTAGTAAGCATGGATTTAAAAAGGGAAAATTGTGCTTAACCAATGTGATACCCTTTTATGATGAAATGACTGGCTTGGTGGATGAGGGGAGAGCAGTGGATGATGTTTATCTCCACTTTAGAAAGGCTTTCAACACTGCCTCCCATAACATCTTCATGGATAAGCTGATGAGGTACAGGCTAGATAAGTAGACAGTGAGGTGGACTGAAAACTGACTGAGCTGCCAGGCTCAGAGAGTTGTGATCAGCAGCACGAAGCCCAGCTTGAGGCCAGTCGCTAGTGGTATACCTCAGGGGTCAACACTGGGTCCAATACTGTTTAACATCTTTGTTAATGACCTGGAGGATGGGGGAAAAAAATGCACCCTCAGCAAGTTTGTAGAGGATACAGAAGTAGGAGTGGTGGCTAATACACCAAATCGGTGGCACTGCTATTCAGAGGGACCTCAGCAGGTTGGAGAAATGGGCAAAGAACCTCAAAGTTCAAAGGGAAGTGCAAATCCCTGCACCTGGGGAGGAATAACTCCATGCAACAATACAGGCTGGGTGACCAGCTGGAAAGCAGCCTTGCAGAGACAGTCCTGGGGCTCCTGACGGACACCAAGTTGAACACGGACCAGAAACGTGCCCTTGCTGTGAAGGTGGCCAACAGTATCCTGCGTGGGCTGCATTAGTAAGAGTGTTGCCAGCAGGCTGAGGGAGGTGATCCTTACCGCTGCTCAGCAATGGTGAGACCAGACTGAGACCAGAATGCTGGGTCCCAGTGCTACGCTCACCAGCGCAAGAGAGACATGGACTTACTGGAGCAAGGCCAGTGAAGGGCCACAAAGATGACTGAGGAACTGGAACATCTCTCATATGAGGAGAGGCTGAGACAGCTGGGATTGTTTAGCCTGGAGAAGAGAAGGTTGAGGGCAGATCTTATCAATGCATTTAAATATCTGATGGGAGGATGTAAAGAAGATAGCTGAGAAGAGGCTGGCTCAATATCCAGTGAATGGACAAGAGGCAACGAGCACAAATTGAAACACAGGAAACTTCACCGGAACATCGGGGCGGGGAGGGGAAGCCTTTTTTAAAACGGTGAGGATGGTTGAACACTGCAACAGGTTGCCCAGAGAGGCTGTGGAGTCTCCAACCTTGGAGACATTCAAAACTCGACTGAACACAGTCCTGGCAACCGACTGTAACTGATCCTGCTTTGTCTAGTCCAACAGTCTTGCTCAATCTCCAGAGGCCCTCAACTATTCTGTGAAAGAAAGTGGGAGTCAGGAACATGAGTACCTTTAGCTACCTCCGCTCTTATAGGGTGAAGACAATCCTAGCTTTACATAAACAATGATCAGTTTTGCACAGACTATTCAGGAGGCAGGTCTTGGGATTTTCACAAAACTGCCTGTTATGATATCAGTTCTCATGAGCTCAGTACTGGCCAAAGCCAAAACTAAAACCTAACCAAATATAATAAACTACAAAACAGAAGATCGTTTTGCAACTGTATAAAGTCTTTCTGGGCCTTCCATCTCCAAGAACGCAACAGAGTTGGAAAGGGTACAGAGAAGGTGGCTCAGGTGATCAAAAGCATGAAATGGTTTCCTGGCAAGGAAGAGTTGAATACACTGAGAGTCTTCAGTCAAGAAGAAATGTCTGAGGAAGACCTGTCAGAGGTCTAGAAAACCTTGAGCGGCTTGGAGAGCATCAACAGGAAAACTACACAGTCCCTCAGTACAATACCTTAAACATCAAAAGAAAGCAGGTGTTCAGAACACATAAGGTACAGTTAAGTTCGGGAAGTCAGTTATGGGGCAGTATGAATGCTGGAAATTTACCTTGGTTTGAAAAAAATAAGGCAAAAACATTTATGGAAGAAAATCCTACTGAGGGCTCTTAGATACAAAGATGCCACAAGTGGCTAGACTCTAGGGAAATACCAGTCCATATTTGCCACCTTTTTATACCCTTCCATAACAGATAGGCACTGGGTAGATGGCTATGCCACGCCAGGGTATTCTCATGGTATTTCCTCTAATCCCTTCCTCTTGCCCAGAGGTCCTGCCATACCTTGTACTCAGGGAAAAATTCCTTATAGCCTCCCTTCAGGACATACAGCTCAGGATAATGCAGCGCAGGGTACTCATTCATGGCACGATCTTCTTCCCTAAGATAGCGGCACCTTTGAATGCCAAGAAGGGAGCAGTCAGCCAGGGAAGGAGTTACATCTCAGCATGAACCATTATTCTTGCTAAAGGCACTTTCTTCCCGCCCACTAGAAATGGTCAAGGTTAGTTAGAGCTCACATCTTGGGGCCCCTCTCAGAGGAGAATTCACAGTGGAACACAAGGATCAGGCGTTTCTGTGGCATAGAAGGGAGGAGAGGCTTCTTCAGGAAGAATTCGAAGATGTCTTCCTGCCTGTGAAAGTTAACAGCCCCCTTCACGGGGAAGACAGCCATCAGCCCTCAGCAACATTGCCTTATCCAACAGCCTGCTATGACAAACACATTTAGTATCCCAATCGTGCTGCTCGCTCCTGTGATTTTGCTTCATCTCTAAGCCTCTCCACCCATTCTCCTTCCCTTCCCTCTCAGCCCCATTCCACTGTGGCTTACCCAACTCCCTTACCTTGATGTGCCCCCCCTTATACTCATAAGGATAGCGGCAGTCAAGGATGTAGAACTTGTCGATCAGGCTTTGAAATTGCCCAGAGAGCAGAGCAGCCACCTATAAAACATAAAATGATTATATTTTCACCAAGTTGTAATGGTGGAAAATAAAAGGGTGGTGGAAAATAAAGGGTGGGGGGGAAGAGGGAGGCATGGCCAAGACAGAGCTCTCTGGCTGCAGAGTCAGAACTGTCTGGAAAGAGGCTGTTTCACTAGGTTTAATATAAATACGCCCACGACCTTAGCTTGCATCAAGAAACAGCAGAGGGGCTAGGCAAGTGACACAGAGCACCAGGCCTTACTAAACTCCCTGGTTATTGAAGCACATTAGTGAGGAAGGCAAAGAAGCAATTGGGCAGCATGTTTGTGTATGGAAAGGACATCCAGTCTCACAGGAGGTGGGCAGGAGGAAAGACCATTGCTCACAGTCTCTGGAGTGATGTAGCGCAGATCTTGGTGCTGTCCTGTCACAGTTGGCAGTGCATACACCTGAGGAGACAGCAATACCAGCTCAGAAGAGCAATTACTGCCAGGCTCCTTGTCCTTAAAGCCCCACAGGGTTTCAGCACTCATATCTAGAGCAGCTGTTCCCTCTCTCCCTCCTAAAAGACCCATACGTGTATATCTGAGCACATAATTTGAGGCTACTTGGAATCATCACTCTTTTTCCTTATGTCCCCATATGGTGACAGGCACTTCATTCGAATACAAATTTGTTTCGTATAGGGACCAAATGAATTCCTTTGACGTTTTCATCTTGCCTGCTGTACAACTGAGGAAAATCATTCAGCTCTACAAACCAAGTCTCTGGCAGCTCTTCCTCTCAGTTGCCCTGTCTGAGAGCAGGGGGCTAGAGCAGACACTTACTTTGGAGAAGTCCCCGATGAGCTGTCTGAGACCATTGTCCTGATCTAGGATTTTGATGATGTCCACACTGGAGAGTGAAGCTGTCTTCTTCAGGGTCACACCCTGCAGCAAAACAACCATCAGCAATTGTCCACAATATGCAAGTATTGCAGCTCTACCGTGTTTGATGGGCAGCCCTCTGTAGAGTCTCAGGTTTTTTCACCAGCAGACTGGGCTATCCCCAGAACGTGCTGCCTGAGCTGTTTTTTGTTTGCCTGCGCAGACCCAGATGGTGCTGCTTCTCATTGCAGCCAATGTAAGCAGAGGGACCAGGTTTAAATACCCCAGTATAAATGGAGAAGGTTGATGTCCACAGCTAGCTCCCTTACCCCTTCTGGCTCGTTATCAGCTCGGCTGCACCTCCGTTTCACTTTTACAGGAGTTTCATTATCCTGGCACTGTACTATTCGTTTCAGTACTGGCCTGTTCAAGTTCTCTGGCATTGAAGGAGAGCGATACAGACGGCTTCTGTTCATGGAAACCTGGCCCAGAGTAGAAAAACAAGTCACAGAGGACACTGCATTGGGAGACCAGCACTGTCAACCCAGCAGTGGGATTATGCAGGTCCCTTCCTACAGGGTCCTGTCAAGCTAGAGATAAAATAGCTGCCCTTACCATGACAGTGAGTGAATGCCAAATGATGCAATTCCAGACAACTGACTACAAGCAAAAGCTGTTGCCTCTAATCCTGGGCCCTGTCTAGGCCCTTCCCCATAACACATTTGTAAGGTAATGCACTCACCTCACTGATATTGATGTCCTGGGTGAGGAGGGGTCCAGAGAGCAAGACAGCCATGCTGGAAGACAGATCCCCAGCTACCAGCTTCTGATGAGTAGGGAAGGAGTGGGAGATGAAGGAAAGGTGAAAAGCACAGGGAACATTAGACACCAACAGAGCTCATGGGCAATTCCCACGACCAAGGGTAACCTGTGAGCGCTTGCATCCATGGCTGATGCGGAGCTTATGTTCAAGCGACAAAGCAGAACGCGCGTGAGAAAGATTATCATATATCCAGGAAGGTTGTTCTACATGTCTCAGTCAACTGCATTTCCCCAGACATGGAAGAGAGGTACATCTACACCTTCTATCTGCTACACAGGGTCCCAGAACTTCATTTAAATAACACCTATCAGAGCTGCCCAGTAGCAACCTGTGCAGAACAGCAAAAATGCTCTCTAATGCATATGGACTCATGGTAACCCAGCAAAAACTGTGCAATGCTTACTTCCCCACCCAGCAAGTCACACCATGAAGCACATGCTACTGTGCCTGGCCCTGCTTACCTCCATCTCCTCTTGTTCATCAGGAAACAGCTCTGCAAAACCACTCAGGCTCCCCAGTATTCTCTGGGCATGAGATCCTGTGACAGCAATCGGACTGCCGAGATCTTTCATCTCAGACTGCAAGTTCCCTGTGTCCTTCCAGGGGAACAGAAAATTGTTATGCCCTATATGGCCCTATAGCACTGCTCAACTTTCACACTTGTTCTGCTATTGCTGAGCAAGAGTAATTGCAGCCAGTGAAGCCTTCTTGGCATGGCTGAGCAGGTTAATCCCACTGAGATTAGCTATCGCTGGTCCATAGCAGAATTCACTAGACCACTGTACACTGATATACACATACATTGCAGAGATGTCTCTGCAGCTTCCAGTTTCCTACTGGAATTCTCTTCAGACAAATAGCAGACAGTGCCCTGTTCTTTACCCACAGAGGCAAGGTCAGACCTTCCTGACCCAGGCTTTGGCTACCATGATACTATTGCCTCAGCACCCTACTGAGAGACTGAAGCATGAACTCACAAGTGGAGGAGTGAACTGAGTCAGAGGGTCTGGGCCTTTCTTCTGAAACAGCAAGGCCTGAGGTACATGCCAGCCTGAGTACTTAAACCAGCTACTCTCCTGAAAAGGATGAGGAGAAAGGACTGTAGCACTTCAGTAATGCTGAAAGCCAGCATCCCTCAGCCCCAGTGCCTAGATGAGAGAGAGGACTCACAATGGCAGTAAGTAGGCACAAATCCCTGCATAAGGGAGGCCCCTCCCAAACTGCTAGAGGGATTTGCAGAACCCACAGGTTTGTCCCCTCCCAGATTCTGGTTCCTGCACTGAGCACAGTTTCAAGCCACTGCTAAACATCCACCATGTCCTTTACCTGCCTGAAAGAAAACTCACCTTTGTGGGGCTTTCAAAGTCTCTGCTGTCTTGCTGCATAGCATCTTTGAAAGTTGGTGTAGAGCACAGCACCTGTGGCTAAAATGGACAAGAAACTTTCACTGTGAATCCTGAGAGCTGCAGCCAACAGTCCAATACTCAAACTCCTCATACACATTGCCCTCCTTCTGGCTGTCCCCTCACAGATATGGTAGGCCGTCTTCCAGTGAAGAAGAACTACTTACCAGGAAAGGCCTCTCATGCTGCTTCTGTGACACTCTGCAGGGAGGAAAATTGCCAGTCAGATACTCAACAGGCAGCTGCATGCAGTAGGTAATTTCATTTCACCTGTTCATGTGACGTATTGGTCCAGAAGAGCCCTGACTAGGGTAAATGCAATTTCTGTGTCCCATTTAAATCTCTGTCTTTTCCCTGAAGCTGCTGTAGAAGCAATGGTTTCTTTTTTGCAAAACGTAAGCCAGTCATCTAAGAAGTGTCATGAGTCTCTTAAAAAGCAACAGCAGCACATCACCTGAGAGACAGTAGAAATTATTTCTGGCTAGTGTTGGGGCCAGAAAGATGCATTCATCAATGACTAAAATCCTGAGTAAACAAGCTGTCTACTTAGAAGAATAAGTGTGGAAGAGTTGCTCGTTAAACTGTCTTACAGAGCCCATTCAAAAGGGCACGCATTAACAGTTTTTTACAGAAGCATAGAGGAAACAGAGCACAGAAAGCAAAGCTTCCCGAGGTGCATACACCCTTCCCGTTCCTCGTCATCAGCATAGCTAATAATTATCACAGAAAAAAGGAGGGGGAAGGAATCCTACTGAAAATCGACCCATGCTCATCAGGCTCAAAAACAATCGCTCAGCAGAGCGCGGTGCTGCCGTTCCCCAGAATAAGCGTCAGGCTCGTCAGCGTGCTGGGCTGAGCCGAGC